GCTCCTGTATGAACACAGCAGTCGACTCAGGTCTCACCTCACCTTGTCTCTGTACCACCAGCGCAAGAGAGAAAGCAGCTCGGTGCTGTGGCAGATGCGCAGGCAGCTACTGCTGGAGCTGGTCGCCATCTTGCCACGCTCGCGCAGCACCCATGTGCCCAATGACGGCGACATGGAGGGGGAGGGCAGCTCAGGGTACTCCGGCCTCAGAGAGGAGCACGTGGTGAAGGCCAGCGCTCTGCTCCGGCTGTACTGTGCCCTCATGGGCATTGCGGGCCTCAGGTAGGTCAGAGACGAGCCATCAAGCTCCCGTTACTTCATACCTGTGCAATCATGATTTTGATGTGATTCTTTTTAGAGTCCACACACACATAAAACATTTGAATAGTTAATCAAGTCGGAGTGATTTCTCTCCAGGCCTACAGATGAAGAAGCAGAGCAGCTATTACAGCTGATGACCAGCCGGCCTCCTGCTACTCCTGCTGGTGTTCGCTTTGTCTCCTTGTCTTTCTGCAAGCTGCTCGCCTTCCCCACTCTGGTCAGGTACATAAAGCTGCTTCTATTGACTCCTACTTTCACAAGTCTTGGTTGTATTCAGCCAACACAAACAGTTTGGGATCACAAACCCTATTCAGCGACCAGTTCTGATTTCCTGCCAGTACACACTGGCTTCCAAAAGCCCTCTCTGGGTCATTATGCATTTCTTTTTTTATGAGTGGAGTTCACATCATCCTCTGTGTGTGTGTCTGTGCAGCACTCCAGAGCAAGAACAGCTGATGGTCATGTGGCTCAGTTGGATGATCAAAGAGGAGGAGTACTTTGAGAGGTAAGAGAGTCTCTGGAGCTGTGATGCTGTATGGGAAACTTCTTAGTTTGCACGTCTGAGGGAAAAGGAAATAAACTTTTACAACATTCAGCTTTCTTCAGCTGAATGAGGCAGAATTAACTTTTCACTGTGTTGTTTTAAATCTTGATGGATAATATAAATGTTGAAAGTATTCTGTGATTATTATCCAACACACATCTCCCATTTCTAATCATACAGTAAAGTTGTGCATGTGTTTTAAATTAATGCAAATATTATCACACTGCTGCTAATTTTATTGCCAGTATAAACATTCTGCTAACTTCAGGAAGCTGTTTTGAGATCATAAAATTACAATTAATATTGCAAAGGGGTAATACGAAGACATTTCTGCTGATATGTCATCACATCACGCGACAGCTGGTTCCACAGAACTAATAATCATTTCATAAAGCAGCGTTCGCCAACATGTGAAAGCATTATTGATGTTTCATACATACATGTAGTACATGATATGTAACTCTGACAGCCATGCTCATTTTAGAAAAGCTGCCTTTTTTCTGCGATTTCATTATTAATGCAATACTTTCCGTAGCTATCAGATTTCTGCGGTTTCACTCCAGTGTTGTAGATATATTAAGGTGTTTACAGCCTTTTGTTTTCTTTGTTTTGTCAGCATGTAGCACTATTGTGGGATTTACAGACTGTCTGTGCTGCTGCTGCACTCTTCACACTGCGCTCTTACGGTCGCTGGTCTTTTGCTCCCGCTACAGAATTAAGTGAAACTTTATACCAAACCAGGGAGAGCCGAGGAAACGCTCACAAAATCAGCACGGGGCAGTAAAAGTTAAATTGTGGCGTAAATGTGTGAAACGTCTCTGGTCACACTTAAACGTGTTTGTGTGCTTTTATTTATGCCCGCTGTTGGGAGGCGCGTGACCCTCCCTCTGGTTGTTCTCTGTGGGAACAGGCGGCGATAAACTCGGCAACGCTTTTGTTCGCTTATCTGTTAAAATGGAGCTAATAGGACTTGACTTCACAGCCCTGTTTATCTACGTTTGTATGTTTGTTAGTGACTCTAGTCCATAACTTTAATCTTAACTGATAGAAGAAGGTGTGTGTGTGGTGTGTGTTGATGCAACTAGCATAATGAGTTTATTAAAATTCTGTCCTGTAAGATGCAGGATTAACGACAAGCCTAAATGTCTTTCCTCAATTGCCTCTTCATCATGTGTGTGTGTGTGTCTCTTCCTCCTTACAGCGCTGCAGGCGTATCTGCTTCTTTCGGAGAGATGCTATTACTGGTTGCCATGTATTTCCATAGCAACCAGCTCAGCTCCATTATTGAGTTGGTGTGCTCTACTTTGGGGATGAAGGTAAGGTGGTAGGTGGGAGGGAGGCGGTGATCAATACATCCGTCTGGCTGACCAGCTGCTGGCCCCACTCCTCCACTGCAGCAGTGGCGCATATAAAGACCATATCACTAATGAAACACTTGCAGCATACACATATCTGGCAAGACACTCCATACCCTGAGGCCAATTTGCTGTTTTATTACTTATTAAGTGCACTATTGTTTCCTGCCTGTGTGCTAAGTAGTTTTCCTGTCTTAGTGTATTTTCCACTAAGATGTGTAATGTAATTGGATTTAGAGCCTGTTTGTTTCCACCCCTAGGGCAATCCTCTCAATTCAATGTTGTGCCTGCCATGTAGAATTTTTCTTATGAAATATGAAAGGAGGGAATTACAAAATACCAGCACTGCTGCCTGGAGGTTGTTTTCACTCAGCAGACCTACCATTATTGATGTTTCTTCTAATTTTTTGGGGGCTAATGTTCAACTTCCTACAGATTGCCATCAAGCCCAGCTCTCTGAGCAAGATGAAGACGATCTTCACTCAGGAAATCTTCACTGAACAGGTACGTTAATCCTTCCTCGTTCACATTTTGTGCTCACAGCTATGAATTTGCCTTCTTGCCAATGATTTAACGAAGCTTTTATTCTTCTCACCAAGTCAACAAACATCGTTCCCCCGTGACAGCTAAATTGAGGCGTGTAGCAGCTTCTAGTGAAAGAAACTGTCATAATGAAATAGGCATGTGAAGGAGCACAGGTAGCTTCAGATCATTTTGATGAATATTATTTAATACTACTGAGCAGTTTTTGGGCAGTGTTAGGTTTAGGAAGCATTAGCTGTAGTCAGAAGTCAGTGGTACATCCGGGGCGCCGCTACAGCTCACCTGGTGGAGCTGGCATCCCATGTGCAGGGCTACAGTCCCCTATGTGGAGATCATGAGTTCGAATCCCGCTCATGACCCTTTCCCACATGTCCTTCCACCCATTCTTCACCCCCACTTTCCTGTCTCTCTCTCACTGCACTATATAAATAAAGGCCAAAAAAATAACTTAAAAAAAAAAAAGATGTACATGGTTCATTTTTATTATCATCACTCCATTCAACAAAACACCTTCTATAACTGGTATTAAATAGTGGCTTTATATTAATAAGTTAATGACGAAACCTCTTTAAAAAACACATTCATGAACTCCGTTTTATTTCCATTCTTCTGACATGTCACGGCGTACAGCTGATCAGTTTTTACTCTGCATATACGGTGCAGTACTGATGTCTATATGCACTACTTGTACTTGACATTATATCCGTGCAGATGTGCTAATAATGATGATAATAATATTCTTGCTGAACTGGAAAGGCATTCCAACTGAACACACTGTAGAGACGTTACCGTACCAGAGACCTGCTGGTTGGTAAAAGTGTACCATTCTTTTTAATTAGCAAAGACTTGGAATGAAGCTTTCAAATAATAAAATCAATAATGTTGTTTATAACATTATTTTTGTAGTGGCGTAGCATTTCTATAGCATGTGAAAAAAGAATGTAAGTAATAAACTAGCTGCATGTAATAAACATTATTAGTCCAGAAACAGTGGAGTGTAGCCTGTGAGTGTTATGAACCCTCCTGTGCAGCCTTTAAATGATCTGTGACACCTTTTGCATTTGATCGTCGGCTCTAAAAGTCACTAAAAACCTCCACATGTGGGGTGTTTGTGTGTCAGTGGACCTGTTAATGCACTTTCATCCCCAGTCTCCAGGAGGACACCTATGACAGTACTTCCGTTACCTTTAGTACCATAGAAAATATGTACCATCACATTTTCAGAACTTCGGTACTGACTTAGTCCCAAAGTGTGGCTTCTCCTGACACCTCTAATACATGTAAGATTTCAAAACTAGAAAAACACAGTCACAGATGATGGTACAGACTCTCCCACCCTGTTGGTTACCAGCATGCAGTATGTTGTTATATGATCTGATTCTGTTTGACCTCTCATGTTGTTTTTGTTCACATGGATGTTTCTGGCATTAATTGGAAGACCTTCACAGTACCTTGCTATATTGATAACACGTTCGTTATTCTTGCGGTGCAGGTGGTTACAGCCCATGCGGTTCGAGTTGCGGTGACCAACAGCTTAAGCGCCACCATCACAGGATTTCTCCCCATTCACTGCATCTACCAGCTGCTCCGGAGCCGAGCCTTCACCAAGCACAAAGTGTCCATCAAGGTATGACGTCCATCGTGTGGCTCGTCGTGGTGACTTTAGAGGTACATCTTGTTGAAAGATTAATTTCTCTTTGCGTGTGACTTCAAGGACTGGATCTATCGTCAGCTCTGCGAGACCACCACGCCCATCCACACGCAGCTGATTCCCTTGATTGATGCGTACATCAACTCCATCCTCACACCAGCTTCCAAGGCTAACCCCGAGGCCACCAACCAGCCTATCACTGAGCAGGAGATCCTCAATGTCTTCCAGAGCTCTGCCGGGGTGAGTCAGTCACTAGAACTGCACAAATCTAAATCTGCACCCAAATCATTGTGTGGTACACTGCATTTGTGGTGTAGTTTTGTTGTCTTGATTTTTAGAAGAATGCTGCCTTCATACTGCTCAATACAAACTGCCTTTGAGTTATTCTGGCTCTGCTTGGCTTCATTATTGCTGTAGCGGTAGTAGTTGTTGAGAGCACGCTGTTCTTTGTGTTGTTCATCCTCATCCCTCCTGTTCCGTTGCTTTTCATCATAATGGGTTCAACATGTGTTCTCAGTCTATATGTAGTCCACAGCTTGTTATGCAGTCGTATTTAAAGTGAGTCTGATGAGAGTAATAATGAGCTGCAGCAATACGATCAGAGTACAGGTACTGGATTTTTATTGTTTCTTTTAAAAACATTAAAATTAGCCTGAAGCTAAATCGTTGCAGCATAAACTGTTTTTCTGACACGGATTTGTCAATATTGGCTGAAGTATTTTTTAAAGTTGGAGTTGAGGGTGAAGCCGGTTGTTGGAAACGTGCCAGTTTCAAGCATCCCAGGATTTTTTTTGTTGTTGTTGTTGTTGTTGTTGATGAACTGATGAATCTTTTGGATGATCCGATGCCGATGCCCCGTCATGCTGCCCATCTCTCACCCGTGCTTTTCTTTTTTCCTCTACTGGTTAGCAAGGGGATTGTAGTCGAGGAGGACGGCAGCGCTACTCCATCACCACCCAGCTCCTCATCCTCTACTACATCCTGTCTTATGAGGAGAACCTGCTGGCTAGCACCAAACAACTGGGTATGTACAAGACAATAGCTGTGTCCAAACAAGAACGCTGCACTGTGCCTGGCTCCCCTCTGTGCTGTTGGCTCACTTCCTCAACCAGTTCTTATTTTCTCTTTCTTTGCCCGTCTAAAGTGCATTCACTGTCATTTCCACTGAAGAAAGTATTGTACGTAAGATGGAGGGAATTTGTCAGGCAGCGAGAAGAGAAAGGAAGCTTTTGTCCTCTGTTAAGTTGTAGGAGACGCTCTCACTCTGGATGTGCAGTCATTCATCCTTTTCTCTCTTGGCACTGAGTGTTGGCTGCTTCATAGAGAATAAATGGAAGGCTGACAAAGAGCCAAGTACAATGGCTGCAGGAGCAAAGCTAACTAGGACAGCTGTAGGTTAGATTGAGCATTAGCAGTTAGCCTAGTCAGTGTTTATTCTCTCCCATGACGAGCTCTCCTCTTGCCCTTCATTAGGCCAGATTTATGTGAGAGTTTATGCCCATCTCTTTAATTGCTGTGTTTACCCAAGTGCTCCCACAGCCTTCAAGGAAGGAGTAATGAAGCCCATCAGCAGTGGTAATGAACCCACGTCAATGAAAAATCACCTCCGTTTCTTTAACGCACAGTGGCTCTGGTGTCCTTACACAACCAAATAAAACACTTATGCTCCATCTTGTCCTTCTTTTGCTTTATGTTCTCGCTCTCCCTGTTTGCTGTGCTTCACTCATCCCTTTTTCTCTCTGTTTTTTAAGCTCTGATGCAGAGGAAGCCAAAGTCCTACTCAGCAGCCTTGATGGACCAGATCCCCATTAAGTACTTAGTTACCCAGGCCCAGGGGCTGCAGCAGGAGCTGGGAGGTAAAGTGTCTGATTACAAGTCTGCGTTTATTTGACTAAACAGATGATAAATAATCCAAGTGAGCTGTTGTCTCTAAAATCTGAAAATAAACTGTCGCTAATTGCAGGTCTGCACTCGGCCCTGCTGAGGCTTCTCGCCACCAACTTCCCCCATCTGTGTCTGGTGGAGGACTGGGTCTGTGAGGAGGAGGTGACTGGTACCCTGCCCCTGCTCCGGAGAATGATGCTGCCCAGCAACACCTGTAGATACACTCAGAGCCAGCTCCACCAGGGTGAGCCAAGCACGATGGCACATTTAGGGTCGCAGTGGGGAAGGAGGTTAAGACTGGTAGTTTTATATGTACTGCTCCCATAGCTTTCTGCTAAAACTGCCGGATGCTCAGACATAATGACACAGTTAAACTGAAAAGAGTAGAAGAACCTCACATGAAAGAAAGGCATGTTGGGAAATAAACCAGCTGTCCTTGTCCAGGGGTCAGGGTTGGGTCGGTGAGTCGTCATGGTGGAAGAAGGAATAAACACTAGGGCTGTATTTTACATTTTCAGGTGAAAGCCTTTATCCAACTGAAATCTTATCTCAATACTTAATCCTTATGGGTTTAAAGGATATGCTGTAATTGGCTTTTCTTTGTTAGACATCATTGACTAAATGCAGCGTGATGGCGTGCGTCCATGTTTTCTCCAGCAGAGCAGCTCTGGCAGGCCACCGCGGAGCGCTTCATCAGAAATGCAAACCCACACCGTGCGTGGGTTTAGTCACTATGACAGCAATATCTTGACAACATATCACCGCTTTAATCGTCGTTACATGACAGATTAGCATCAGCCCTTTTCTGTCTGACAGCTTGTGATGACGGCCACAACAAGCTTCTCCTCCATTTTTACGGTTACCGGGGTGATGAGCCCCACCTAGCCACGGTGACGACACCAGCGCCTCTCCAAAAAAAAGTTGTCAGATTTCACTAGAAGTTCTCTGAAACATGCCGCTAGGGGCAGCACTTGTTCTCCAAGTGGCATCCGTACACTTCTGCTCTCCCCTCATTGGGAACAAAAACAGAAGCTGCACTCAGGATCAACATAAAAAGTGATTTCAAACGAGCGATAACAGAGTTCATAGAGTGGTGAAGCCTTTACGTGAATGATCAGTAGCTTTTTTTTATCCTGTAGTTTAGGTAGTGTTGGCTGATAATTAATAATAACGAGGCCAATATATGAAACAGATGTACGTTTGCTGAGAAACGAGAAGTTTGGTGTCAGAAATTAAAAATAAAATTACTGCCAACTCCGGCACCAAACTTGGCACGCCTCTGCTGCTTGATGTTTTGCATATGTTTAATTAAAAGAGAACCTCTCAACATTTATTCTTCGGTGCTGATGAGCTCGTACTTGTGATGCATAACCAATCAGATGGTCCTGAGGCATCAGAGCCAAAGTAGTGCGTTCTTAAGTTAATCTTATTTTAGTAAAAAAATAAATAAAAAATAGCCACACTGATAATTACAAACATGCTGAACACTGGATCCAATAATCAACCAAACCTGTAATCGTCTTTCATTTAAATCATTTACAGTCTGAGTCCTGAAATGTATTCTTACCTGTAAATAGCAAGTTGTTGAATTTATGGATTAAGTCTCAGGGTTAATAACCACTGGAGTTATTTTCTCACCATCATCATGTCAAAGTCAACGTGTTTCCTCCAATGCATACGTCAAACCTTTCTGCTCACTTCAGTGTGTGCATTAAGGGAACACGACAAGACGCCGCATCCCTCGAGTTTGATGAGTTACCTTCAGCGTTTTGTCCCCCCAGCCTTCCAGAAGTTGCCATCCAGCAGTCCCAGGCTGATGCGGATCCTGGAGCATTTAACGCTGCTGTCACCTGGAGACCTGATCCCGTACGCAGAGGCCCTCACAGCCAGCATGGCTCTGCTGCTGGAGCCCGCTGTGCCTCGCCGTATACTGCAGACGCTCAACAAGCTGTGGATGGGCCTCAACACTGTGATGCCCCGCAGGTACGAGCTCTGGACAGGACGAGATATAGAAAAAAACATTAATATTACATTTGTTTACACCATGTAGATTTAAATTTCATATAAGATAAAATCACTGGTACGCCTAATGGGTATTCTAATTCTGCCTTAATGGCGTTACTTGGATACTGGGGCTCCTAATAAGTGTCTCTTTCTCAGTAACTGGAAGTGGGTACGTTTTGCTGAACTTCCCTCTTGGCTGCCAGTTAAATTTAGAATCGTACATCTCCTCTAAAAGGTTAACAGTAGTACTTGACTGGGTCTTGTCTCTCCCAGGACTGTGTAAAGTTGCTGGGAGTAAATGGATTAAAGGAAGACCTCTGGAGCGAGACTTGTTGCCCTTAACTCCGGGCTGCTTGCTCTATGATTATTGTATGAAGAGATCAGAGGTTTTGAGCCGAGCAGCTCTGTCAGCCTGCGTGAACTCTCTGGACAGATGAGGGTCACCCTCACGGTGCCCCAGGGCCCAAAGGAGCACAGTTACCAAAGCTCTGAGCAGACATCCTATCGATCCAGAAGGGTCCTGTAACAAGAAGAGCTCAGGGCAGGAAAACTGAGCGAGGCTCTCCATGAGGTAGATGTGAGGGAGTTTTGCCCCCTCCCTCGTCTCTTCCTTGCTCCCTCCCGTATATTGAATGTTGCAGCGGGATGGGCAAGAGAGGCTCTGGTGAATTTAGGAGGAGGGCAGCAGTGTCAGATTTCACACAGATCCGCTGATTGATGCCAGCGCGCGAGCTGCATGAAGGCTCGGAGCTCCAAGAGTGCCCTGCTGTTTAGAGTTTAGCGTCGGCCTGGTGAGAGGGATTGAGGGTGAAATGCTGCCATGGGCTAGTCTGGGAGTAAATGAAGTCATTAAAGCCCGACTGAAGTGTGTGCCACATTAGATTTTGGTAGTATTTGAATTTTCTTTTTTCCAAATCAGTTTGAAGTGAAGATCCTGTTGCCTTTGCTGTTGTTCTTTAACAAAGCCTCGTGTCACATTTCATTTGAGCTATGATGCTCCAAAGCCAGGCAAAAACAACAACTAGCACTCCAAGTCAGACGCCGCGCATCCCTCACTTCATAGAGCTTGATGTAGAATGAAAGGTAAAGTGAATGTCTGTGTTGCAGGCTGTGGGTGATGACGGTGAACGCCCTCCAGCCGTCCGCTAAGCTGCTCCGGCAGCAGAGGTACACTCAGAACGACCTGATGGTGGATCCTCTCATTGTGCTGCGCTGCGATCAGAGGGTGTACAGGTAACCACATCCACTGTTATGACCACATCGATGATGGAGGGACAGGTGGAGACTGTCAATAGATCAGAGAACTGCTGATGTAAACAATATAAACGAATGGTTCATGTGTGTCAGTTAACTCAGAGTGAACTCTTCTCTGGTTTGTCTTTGGCCAGGTGTCCTCCTTTGATGGACATTGTCCTTCACATGCTGAACGGCTACCTGCTGGCCTCCAAAGCTTACCTGCAATGCCACCTGAAGGAGACGGCCGACTTTGATCGACAGAGCCAGACTGTTTCCAACCTGGGTGTTCCTGGACAACCAGACACACCTGAGGTCACCAGGGAGGAGCTGAAGAACGCCCTTCTAGCTGCACAGGTGTTTAAACCGTTAATATTGATCACTTTTAATGGAGGACGTGTGTTTCTATCCTAATGCACCTGATCTGGATGTTATCAGCCTCTTGAATGGCTGTTATCAGTGCATGTCATTTCCATACACGGGCCTGCAGAGACCTCCATCACCTTCTAGTAGGCACGTTTTTATGACCCCATTTAATGTTATCGCCTTATTTAATGGCGATGGAGTCACAGTTTAGCTCTTACAACGAGGAACAAAAGTCCACATATGGAAGCTGGAGGGGATGGAGGCGGCACAACGGATGAAGCCACATCTCCAGGATTATTTTTGGACTTCTTGTAGTTTTGATTTCACTTAAAGCTACCTGGTTGAGTTTACAGACGTATAACTTGTGTTAAAATACACCGTCTTTGCTGTGTTTACCACATGATGCACAGTTCAGTTTTGTATGTTTCAAGGGAAACGACTCCACTGAGAGGTTATTGGTGTTAGTTTCTGTTTGATCAGTGATCAGAGCAGATGACAACGTGATTACTGAGCCTAGTAGAACGTGGAGACATTCCCTCCTGGCTGATGTGTATGAACATGCCATCATAACAGCCATTTATTATACTGATACCATCTAGTGCTTCGTGTGACGGGGTTACACATATGTAGAAATAATATTGCATGAAATAGCACTAGAACATGTAGGAGATGACCTTTTGCACCCCGTCTCATACCCACTTGTTTCTGTTTGACTCCAGGACAGCGCAGCAGTCCAGATCCTCCTGGAGGTGTGTCTGCCAACCTCCGAAGAGCAGCAGCTGGGGGCCACCACAGAAAGCCTGCTGAGGAGCATTCGGGGCTCCGTGCCAGGGAAACCGAAACAGGGAAGCCTGGGGCCGAGAGCCAGAGGGGGCGTGGAGGATGCTGAGCCAGAAGGAGGCCTGCTCAGTGACTTGAGGGAGGTGCAGTGTCTCATCTGCTGTCTTCTGCATCAGATGTTCATCGCTGACCCCAACATCGCCAAGTTGGTTCACTTTCAGGTAACACAGCATGAAGAAGGATGCTTCAGATCGTAGCGCCGTTCCTGCATAACTACGTCTTCAAGCTTCCACCAAAAATGTTGGCATTGAAAGTAACATTATCATAATAAATGATTGGTGCCACGGTGCAGAAAATACCTTTGAGTGAGTTTTTCAAGAAGAGCTAAATCACACTGACCCCATTAGTCATCACATTGTGCCGCGGCATTAGCAGTAAGTGACTGCGCTACTCCCAGAAGCAGCAGCCAGCCATATGGTGGACTTCATCAAACCAATCCTTCCTCTGTCACACTAATCCAGCCTTATCCACACCGCTAAGCAGAGGCTGCCGTGTGCCTCCATGTACACACACGTGTTTCAGATAGTGTGTGTACATGACTACCGGAATAACTGCACTGTGCGTTTCTTATTCCTCCCTTATCTTCCTCCTTTAATTATAAGTTTCATATTTCCTCTTGTCTCCCTCTCTGTCAGGGTTACCCTCAAGCTCTGCTGCCTCTCACTGTGGCAGGCATCCCCTCCATCCATATCTGTCTGGACTTCATCCCAGAGCTGCTGGCCCAGCCCCAGCTGGAAAAGCAGGTGAGGCCTCCCAACCTCCCCTCCCCGCTTTTTTCTGGCTTTAAATCCCAGACTTGCCCTGGGCGTGTGCCAGAGCCTCTCTTACACTGTTGTGATGTTTTAAAAGCACTTCTCCTGCGTGTTTGCATATTTGCTACATAAATAAATGGGGTAAAACGTGTAGCTGTTGTAATTGTGTGTGTCCCCACAGATCTTTGCGATTCAGTTGCTGTCATACCTGTGCACCCAGTACGCCTTACCCAAATCCCTGAGCGTGGCCCGGTTGGCCATCAGCGTCATGGGAACCCTTCTAACAGGTCAGCAAATATCTGTTTTTGTCCATTTTATTCCATCTTTTTTTTATCTGCCTCTGCTCCTGGTGGACTGACTGCATCCTGTAACTCACAGTTCATCTTGTGTACATCAGCTGCTGTCACACGCTTCATCTGGACGTTTTTATTCCTGTGTGTGGCTGCCACCATCTGGCCTTTGGCTGTCAGTGCAGCTTTCTTTCTCCATTACAGAAGTGTACAGTGTGTACCAGCCCGTCGGCTGCTGTATCCAGTGTTTGCTCAGCTCTTCTGTACACTCTAAGTGTGTGTGTTCTGCTTTATAGTGCTGACTCGTGCCAAGCGGTTCTCTTTCTTCATGCCCACCCTGCCATGTCTGGTGGCCTTCTGCCAGGCCTTCCCTCCACTCTACGATGACGTGGCGGCTCTGTTAGTACAAGTGGGCCAAGTCTGTGCTTCTGATGTGGCCACTAAAGCCAGAGACATCGACCCTCTCATCGCCCGTGAGTATACTTAGTCATTCTGGTGCCATTATGACTGTTTCACATGTCACTGTTCAGGTTTGTTTTTCTTTACGTTACACAACCGACACATGGTCTCAGACTGAGATAGATGAGAAATTAAGTGTTCAGTCTTTCCCTGAGTTCCTGATTTACCTGCACTGCTGGATGATCACCATCTAGTCTGAGGCACCACAGACAGTTTGGTTCATCTTCCTACGTTCAGATGTCCAGATTAATGTTATCAGGCCAATGTGTTGTGAGCGCACAGTATCTCCTCCAGTTCAGAAAATAGCCTTTAATCAGTCTTAAATACTCATCTGGCAAAGCGATTATTACATTCTAGTTATGGACAAATACTGTGTAGATGTTAAACAGTGGTCATTACCAGAATTTCTGTCTGCTAAAAAAATATGCAATATATTATTTCTGGAGAAAAGACTGCATTTGACTTTGACAATAAAATGTTATGTTGTCGTTGATATGTGGAACGGGTAGATCATCGAGAAGAGATCGACCACTGTTGATGTAAGGAGGCAGCATTTCAACAACATTTTTCTACCTCAGGCCTGCAGCATCTGAAAGAGAAACCTCAGGAGGCCGTGGCTCCAGGAGGAGGCTCCTCCAAGCTGACTCTGCCCCAGAAGACAGCCGAGGAGCTGGGTGGAGCCGACCCTGACGTCCAGCTCTGCTACTGCCTGGAGGCCACGTTCATGGACATTATCAGCTCCACCCTTCACGGACTATAGAACATCTGGACAGAGTGCAGGGACTCGACTCAAATCACCAACACTTCTAAGAGGGCTACTGTCAACAGAAATATCTTCATGTGCTTCAAATGGACTCTGATGTCACCTCTGTCAAGGGCTTTCAGGTAACGATGGGCTGTGGGCTGCTCTCGCTCTGTGCTCACGCTGGACCACATGTCCGGTCTGGTCTGGTCTGTGTGGACTTACAGTGAAACACGCACTCTCCAACCGTCAGGCTCCGCTTCAAGAATAAATAAGTCATGATTTGCCGTTTATTTAGAACACGTCAAATGTTTGTGTGCTCGGTCACAATTTGTAGAAAGTAAAATACAGAAAATGACAAAACGGGTTCAACTTTTCTGACCCCTGTAGGCATATTTTTCTAATTTGCGAGTGTTGTCAACTTGTTTCTCACATGTAAAAACAAAAAAAGGAAAGTGTTGCCTTGACATGTGTCGAGCTTTTGTACTGTATTTGTTTGTAATAAAACAAAATATTTGACTGAGGTGTGTTCTGGGTAAGGGGAAAGAAATCCACATTCTTTCTCTCCAGACTTGTTTTTCTTTTATCTCTGACTTGTTTGCGTTTCGTCTCAACCTCCCCGGAATCTGGCGGTTAGTTCAAGTTCGACATTAAGGGAATCTGGACGTTCGCTAACGTCACAGCTGCAGCTCGAGTCTGTTTTATATGACGGGAGACAACGTGTTAAAGCAAAGGAGACTGGTAACCATTAATCAGTATAAAGATGTTATTCACCCTAGCAAAAGATCATGCCCATGTGTTTATTGAGTCAGCAGGGATGATATTAGATGACAGAAGTTGATCTGCAGTAGAATTATTACTTGAAAGCAACACAGACTGCCTGAGAGCTTCGCTGCATTTCAGCCCATTATATATATATTTAGATTTTTATGCTGAATTTTGTTTTACTTTCGATTCTGAAAAGGCACAAACCAGGATGCAGGAGATGAAGTGTTTGATGCTGGGTGAGAACACCTAGAGCGCCACTACGTCCAGCACCTGTTCAAATGAAGCCTCCACCTTCTAGGACCTGTTCTGGAGTTACTACCTGTCGATTAGAGTTTGATTGGAAAACATTTCCATCATCTGAACCGGTGTGTGTGATACAGACGGGACTAGTTGAAGTGGCAGCTTACTAGAAGCCGTTCTGTCCAGACTCTTTCCTGGAGTTGTGTTCCTTGGCTCGCCGTCACGTCTGCCTGATTTAACAGCCGCCGTTAATTTGATTAGTAACGTCGGTGCTTTTCCCGCCACGTCAACTCCGAGAGTCTGAGACGGACGTAACGTGGCTCTAAATCCTCCGCATGAAACGGCGTCTCCGATGCGCCCTGCCGAGCAGCGGCTGAATTTCAACTCCTTCTGCAGTTCTTGTATTTCACTACAAATAAATTAATAATGTAGATATTAAAGGTTTCCAGCAAAATAAAGAAGCCGCTGTCAGGCCTCACCACAAAGACGGTACGACTTCAAGCTTCTTTTATGTGCAGTTCATCCTTCCAACAAAGACCTCTGTGTGTGTGTGTGTGTGTGTGTGGGTGTGTGTGTGTGTCTGCTCTGAGAACGCAACAGTATGTTGGCAAGTACCAGATTATATTTATTGTACAGTTTATTTTCCAACAAGAAGACCGAAGAACGCCTCGAGCAAGAGTTTAAAGGTTGGCAGAGAAATTTGTTGCTGAAGTTGGCTAGATTGAACATTTGAAGTTGAAGGCCCACCAACATATGTGAGCATTTCATTTTACAGTCTTAATTCCTGAGTGTGTTGTACAGCAGCTGTAACCCTGATTAAGTCTGAGCCGTGTGCTCGGTGCTGTGATGCACCTCCTATCTGCAGTTTGTGAAACTTCTTCTGACGTATGTGATGGTATCTCATGTTCATTTTGGCCAGCGGTGGTCAATGTCAGCTGAGGTGGACGTTGAGGCTCAGGGAAGCTCAGCCACATGCGACCCAGCCTTTAGAAAGCAGCGAGTGATGGCAAATGAAGTGAGGCTTTTATGATTTTCTGCAGCTGAACCCGTTTTGCATGGTCATCAGTTTTAAAGATGGTTACTAGAATCTGTTTGGGAGTAACGCCACATCAGCAAACACCAGTTCTGTTCTGGTTTCAGCGCAGGCTGAGCTGTTTGTGATTTCCTGACTCTGCTCATCTGTATAAAAGCAGCATTAATATCTAACATATGTAATGTAAGATCCTTGTTCTGGTTAAGTCTTAGAGGAGAACTCTGGTTTGGCCTGACTGAGGTTCATCTCGGACTTAACTCCACTGAAGCATTCCTGTCTGCAGACCTGCTACTAACATGCATTACCTGATTAGCTCGTGGTCATTTTATTGCTAAAGTGATCATTTGGGGTCATGTAAATTGTATAATTCATCCCACTCTCACCCAACCGGTGGAGGCAGATGGCCGTCCCTCCCTGAGCCTGGTTCTGTCGGAGGTTTTTTTCCCCTGTGGGGGTTTTCGGTTCCTTCCCACTGTTGCGGACTGCTGAAGCTTATAGAGAATCCAGATGTTTGGATTGTTGGGTGTTTCTGTCTCTGCCTTTGTGAAGCGCTATGAGATGACTTGTTGTTGTAAATATGCGCTATACAAATAAAATTGAATTGAATTGAATTGAATGTACTGAGACGAACAGCTAGAGGTACAGATCCTCTGACAGTGTTGTCATCGTGGCCTATTAACAGCATCTTATTGCACACGTTAGTCTGCTGCAATCACTTCCTCACAAATAGCATGAACACTGATAAATGCCCCATCCTCTAGCACAGATAATACCTGTAGTGGTGAACCTTCAGTGACATGTTGTGCTGGAATAAATGGGTTGTAGCCTGTTTGACTGTATTTCGTGTGGCCTATATAACACACTGTAATTAGCAGTAATTAGTTCCTCTCACAGTTGACATCTGAAGTCTTTTCAGTGTTGTGGTGTTGATCAGGAACGTAGAGGTTTCCTACAAGTGAAACGGACTAATAACGGCTACAAAGCCCAGTTATGTTCTTTGGTTTTATACCTTCTTACACACTGTGCTTATTATTACCCGTGAATCCATGTTGCAGCTGCACCATCACATCCTGACAGACATATCCTGGTGGTTCACCAGAGGGCAGTCTTGCCACACTGAAAACAACGAATCCAGCCCGTTGGACTAAAACCATTAATTAAATAAACCTTTAAGCGTCAGCAGTGGAGAACCAGAGAATAGTTGTCAAGACTTGCAAAATCAAAAAAAAACATGCTGAAATATAAAACTATGACCGTTGAAAGTTGCAGCGGTCCACGGCCTGTGATTCACAGCTTTAATGAAAAATGAAGGGAGATTTTTTCACGTTGACATTTCAGGTGCTGCTGTTCACTATTGCATGAGTGACCAGAAACATCACCTACATGAGGAATCTAATAAATAACGACACAGGAAGATAAGAGGCAATGCATACCAGACAGATTTTGAGATTCTGTGCGGTATGTTTTGTATTCTTCTGTGCTAAGAAATGTGAGTGATTTGCATCCACGGAGTTCAGCTTCTCGTCTGTGTTTGTGCTGCGGAGGCATTTGTGAAGCGCTCTGCAGCAGTTTGTTGTTGCTGCTGCAGCTTCCCCGACGCTGTGAGAGATGCCTGAAGCAAGTGAGGGTGAAATCACAGAGCAGTTTTGTTTTCACTGGCGTTGCCGCTGTGCTTCTAACATCCAGCACCCAAAAATACAACAGCTCGCAAACTGCAGAAAAATGGAGACGGAAGGAAGGTAGAGAGAGATATATATATATATATATGTGCTCTTTATGTATTCACTATGAAGGCAGGAGAAGCTGGAGGTGACATTCATTATCTCTACAGGTTTATCCAGGAAAACAAAATGTGTTGCGCTGGTTGTTAATGGCAACTAACATTTTCTACTTTGGGAAGACCTTATCATGACATCCATGTTGTAATTAGATGCGAGCTGGCGGTCTATTATCGAGTTGATGGCATTTCAATACATCAGCTGATTAAGTTGTGACACAGAACCGCTGCTATCTCTACGTGCACAAGACGAGATACTAATAATCCAGTCATATCCTACAGGTAAATGAAACGTGTCTTTGTAAACAGAAAGTCGTCTGAGGGCAACAGAGCTTCATGTCTCGTTAAGAGTTCTGTTTAGACTCATGATGGTAATGGGGATTCGGTGCACCGGGGTCTATGAACTTTCAGCTGAAGCTCTTATTTGTCTTTTTCTTTGCGTGTCGACCAACCTCACCGAGAACAGTTTCACAACAATGCTTTTACCTCCTTAGAAATCGCTCCAAGTTCGCCGAAGGGAAGCACTTAAATGGTCGTCTTAATGCACTTAGCCAGGTATACACCATCACTACACTCCGGCTTTTTTTTTTTTTTTTTCAATTCACATTACAGGTCTATTTGCTTCTGTTTACTCGCAAGTAATAAAAGGCAAGCCCTTAAGAGGCAGCAGAAAATCCCACTTCAGCTTGTTACAAGAGTCGTTGAGGTTAGCAGAGCATTCTTTCCCTGTTGGTCTCAGTGGCTCTTTGCGAGAAAGCCTCTTCAGGTATAATGCAGTGAAACGCCCACATACTGCTGTGACTACTGCTCAGCCATCCATGTGAAGGACAGTGTTTGTCTCTCTAGTGCTCTTTGCGTATTTGACTTTTCGAATCCGCTGTTTGAATTTGGAAGAAAGGTCCTTCATGTCGTTCTGTATTTTTACAGGACTGAGACAAAAGCATCAGCTGTCTGCTCTGTCTTTTACAGACAGAAATGTTGAATATTCCACCACTTCTGTTCATACTGTATACAACTAAACTGAACACGCAGTACAGCTTCGTTAAGAAAGTGAAGCTAATTGGACGAACAAGGGACATATGAACAGTACAGCCCTCTTATCTTGGCTGGAGCTGTGTGGGTCTAACATGGCGCCACATGGTACAAAACTGCCTGAACAAGGAAGAGACCAGATTGTAAGACTTTGTAAAGATGGGAGGGAGTATAGGAGCATCAGTAGGATGCTGGACACGGCATGAAAACAGTTGGCTATGAAGCACTAGATGAGCCTTATTACGTATAACCCAGGATGTAGTGGCGATCCAGACCAAGCACACCAACATGGAAATGGTCCTTCCCAACCCCAGCAGCCTCCCTCGGCAGGACACTGCTCAGGGATACAACAAAAAGTCCAAGATGCCTCTCTAATCTAAGCTTGTTCTGATGTGGGCTCCAACAAGCCTGATCCATGGAGGCCTCACTCTGCAGCCTACAGGACCCAAAGGATCTGCTGCCATGTCCCGGTACCAGACACCACAGGACACCTCCAGAGGTTTGGTGTCCATGAGATGTTGGGTTGGAGCTGTTTCGAGGGGCATCTGTACAATAATGTTGGTGGCTGATCAGTGTATACGTAACCTTCCACTAGCGCAATAGTCCGATAAGTTCTGGATTCACCGTCCACATGTTCAGAACCCGAAGAGGAAAACCAGTTCCCACAAAGCTG